CAGCAGAGCGGCGGCGACCCACGGACGCCAGGGCGTACATCCGACCCGTTGGAGAGCACCAAGCGCTGCGCCTGCCACGCAAATCACACCAGCAGAGCGGCGGCGACCCACGGACGCCAGGGCGTACATCCAGAGCACCAATCGCTGCGCCTGCCACGCAAATCACACCAGCAGAGCGGCGGCGACCCAACCAACCCCTGCAAGAGCACCAAGTGCTGGTTGGCGGTGGTTGGTGGTGGTGGATGTTGTTGGCAGTTGTTGTTGGTGGATGTTGTTGGTGGATGTTGTTGGTTGGTGGTTGTTGTTAGTGGTTGTTTTTGGTTGGTGGTCGCGCCTGAGATGCTTCCTCAAGCTGCTCACCATCCCTCATCTCATCGTCTTCGACGCTCAACTGCCTTCGGCGCTTGTGATTTGGCTGCTCCTCTGCTTGGCAGACCAGTCTCCGAAACTCTCTCTCAAGGGTCGCGTATGTAGTTAGCACCACAGTTGTTCCGCGTTTCTGGCCCAAATCTTCTGGCAATGTCCTTTTCGCACCAGCGTATGTCAAAACTTCGATCGCTCCTGGCTTGGTCCACTCTCTCAATTCCTGACACCATTGGGGCAAGCATGTGGGAGGAACCACCACCAAAGACAACGTCACTGGGCTTGCCAGCAGGAGCGAAATCATTTCCACAGTCTTTCCCATACCCATTTCATCCGCCAGAATCCCTCCTCGAACGTCCTCGCATCTTTCACGCTGCAAAAGCCATGTCAAGCCCTGCGCCTGAACATTTGTCAACTCACCAAGTAAACCCGATGGAGTTGGATGAGCTTCAAACTCCACATGCTGGGAACCTTGGCTATCAGGAAGCTGTGGTTGCTCTGTTGTCTTCGGCACACAGATCGTTTCGATCAATTGTTTCTGCTCTTCTTTTTGCAAAGCCGTGAAACCAAGCAGCGCGTCTTTCATCGCACGCTTTCCTTCATGTGCGATCTCAACCAGCTTGAGGTCTTGGGCAGCACAATCTACATGGAGCCAGACTGCAGTAGCAGTCATACCATTTCTGCCAATAGAGGGATATCCAATCTGAATACAATGCTTTGGGATCTGCTTCCCACATCTTTTGCATTTACATGCTCGACGTCCTTTTCGAACACAAAATGTTCCAGGCAGCAGCATCTTTCTCTCCTTCTCCTCAACACTCAGCCGAGCAACCTGCTGGACTGAAAGCCACGTCCTAAGACGCAGACTGAGAGACTATAATGTGTGTGTGATGGAACCAATGTGATCAACACTGGCAAAAGCAAGAACCCGCGAGAATTTATGCTCCCTTGAAGTTCCAGGAACAAAACGGGTTTTGGTCGATCAGTTGAGCCACTATGGATGGTCTTGTTCTAGAATCTAGAAGCCATTGAATCGAATCAGATTTTGCACTTTGGATCTGTGCTGGCGGCTTGCCGTAACTGTGCGCAAACGTGCACCCTTTGCGCTCTCTCAGTTTGCCGCATTGTTGTCAGGTGAATCCGAATAGGTGCCGCGCCGAAAGGTGTGTCAACATGCATACCAAATTCTATGTTTTCACAATTGTCTTGCGATGTTGCTCACACATGCTCGACCGCTTTCTTTTGCTCGATTCTTTCATGCTTTCATGCTTGCTTCATGCGACTCACACGGCTGGGATTGCAGGGTTGCTCGGGTTTGGCAGGTATGCTCGGCGGATGCTTCGGGCAAATTAGGCTCTTGTCTTCGCTCATGCCAGCTACAACAACCGTGCGGGTTTCAGCGTTTTTTGCTCATAGCAACAACATTCTGGCGGTGTGGATGGGCTGGCGGGGTAAATACAAGCGCTTGGTATCTAATGTAATCTGTTGTTAGAAGACTGACGATCTGGAAATTGGGGTTAGGGAAACCAAATCACCAAACCATTCGTGTCAGTCAGGGATCGTACGTGACAAACCCTGGTTACCAGGCTTGAAAGTTCCGTCGACAAGAAAGTATCAGAAAATGGAGTACAGTATCACTTTGCCAAGAGGCTGCTCTACCACCGAGTAAAGAACGTGCTCAGTGCGCGGCGGAGCTCGATTCGCCGATTGGCTCAACGCTTCGACCGCCAATAGTGCGTCGGCCATCGTCACTTTCACAGGAGAAAAGGTCTTTGACCGTTGTATTCAGCCTTTGCGACCAACACGTCAACTACGTTTGAGACCAACATGTGACGATTGAGTTCAAACGTGACTGGGTCATCCCTTCATTCATGCTTGATGAGTTGGTAGCAAACCTGCTTGTCTTCACGCGGCTAGAACTGCTAGAATCTAGATCTTGAGCCATCATCATGTCACATGTCTGAACGTATTCAGGTGTTTGCGCACCCTCGCTGCAATGGCCAGTGACATAACAAGGTGATGCACCTAAAGTAGTGAATATTCTTGCAGGCACTGCATAGCATTGGAAACATGTGCCACAAGTCAGCTTCGAGCTGTCATTCGGTCCCAGTCCAACCAAAAGAAATAACCGGAGCTTGCAAGAACAAGCTAGCATGATCTAGCAATTGGAATTGATACTGCGCTATCGGTGGATAGGCATGCATGGTGGGGCAATAAATCCAGCGTCGTGGCCGGTCTCCTTCGCCTCCTTTACACCCGAACTCGTCCTCTCACAATTGTGTTCATGGTTTCATGACCAAACTTGATTCCCAGACCAGCCAAAAATGTACGTCATATATAAACAAACATACCCAAACCTCGATGCCATGGGCCTATTTTGTTGCACTATGTTGAATGCTACACTTTCATCCTTAGACTACCTAGTGTGCCCAACCTAGTAGCGATGGCGTCCAACCTAAGACCGATGCCCCTCTCAAAGTCTCAAGTGCTCGAGTCCCCGCACCGGCTGCGGCGCCGATCTCGGCTCCGCCGGTCGCGGCTGCGGCGATCACGGCTGCGGCGCCGGTCTCGGCTCCGCCGGTCGCGAGATCGGCGATCCCGGCTGCGGCGGCCGCGGCTGCGCTCCTGCCAAGTGCGACGCTGACTGGTGGGGGTTGTGCTGTTGGAATGCTCACACACATTCTGGTCAGTGCCTCTCGCCGCTCTTCCTCCCTCCGAGGCTCCTAGCCAAACATGGTGAAAGTCTAGTACAATCGTCCATGGTCAGTGGATGTGAAAGCACCACCGTGGGCGCAAAGTGCTGCTCAACCTGCAACGACCGGAGTCAAAAACTCAGCAGCTTTGCTTCTCCTCCGGTGGAGGTGGTGGCGGCGCTTCAGCCTAGCACTTTGACAATGAGTGGGCCAAGGGCAACGGTGAAACTAATACTGTACCTATTTACCTTTTGAATATGCAATTGCAAACTATAAACATCCTCACAAATGAATACCCAACTTTGATGCTCATTGAAAAAGCCTGAAAGAAGAACTCTTCAGCCATGGGCTGCACTAAATCACTGAGAGTTAGTTTTGTCTCCCCTGCTTTTACTTGTCTTGCTCATTGGGCATACAATGCTGAACCCCTCACGGTGCTGGTGGTTCTGTGGCTGGGCTGGTTCTTTGCAGAAAGGACCATTTTCTGTTCTGTTTTAGCTCTTGATATGTGTCTCCCATCCATGCAGCGGAGCTCTTTCAAGGCTCCAGTCCTTTGATTCAAAACGTGTTGCGGCAAGGTTCTCAAAGTTCTCTTTTTTCATCCAAAGCCAGTGAGGTCCCTACTTCCATCCTCGCCATACTTATACCCAACTCATACCCTTGTTCAGTCAGTCACCGAACGAATCTTCATCGCGTACACCGACTAAACCCAAAAGCATCCAACGACATCGAGTCGAACGGTGTCTGCTCCATAAGCCGCACGCATTGTCTTCATCGAACCGGGAGCTGCTCAGACACCAAACGGGTGAGACACGAACGGGTACATCAAGGGCCAACGGGTGCTGGCGTCAGAAGATCCAACGGGCCAAGGATTTGCCTGTCACCAACGGGTGCTCGAATGACTTGCTTCGTCCAAACCAATGACTCCGGCCAAACCCATCGTCTTTTTATTTGAAAGAAAACAAGCGAGAATCAAACGAACAACATGCCAAGCTCTGCAGTTGTTTTGGATCTCGTAGCTCAAGGGCCCCTTGATCTTGGTTCCTTTGGCCTGGCAATGATTGAATGCACAATGCAAAAGGTGTTCATTTCTACGGGCCACTGATGGCAATCTAAAACGAATGTTGTCTGGTCGTTCTAGCCACAGGTAATGCCTAAATTGGAGCGAAGCAAAAGTGACAATGGTCGGTTGAATTACTGGAAGGTTTACTTGTCTGGCCACAAAAGGCATTTGAACACTCAATTGCACCCTGGGCCTTGTTTTTGGAAATGACAACAAAGGCATTCTCGTCAAACTTAATGTAACTTCCATCTTTTCCTGGCAACAGTGAGGGTCTCTGCTTCTCAACATAGAAGCCCTGGAGGGGTTGGGAATCCGTCCTTGAACTGAATCATGCTCACTTGCACATTCAACTCTTCTTGTTTAGCCTGCGTGGCCTCACCCGTACTTGCAGTAGTTATATATATATATATAACTGATAACTTAATTAAGGGCAGAGGATCCAGGATAGCTTACGCTCGCACTACTAATTGAGGTCCTCGATTCTTTTCTATATAAAGGAATCTCTTTTTGCTAGCTGCTACATAATTGCCCAGGAATTACCAAAAGAAAGCACTTGCGACCTTGCCGACGGTACAATTGTGCTGGGATGACGGTTTCTCTCCTCGACAACATGTCGCTCAAGCGATGTCATGGGCCAAAACATGTAAACGACGCACAAGGAAATAAGTGGTCCAAATTTAAGACACAAATGATATTAGAAGATCAATGAATGAAACCATCTGTTCCAGTGCCCTGAAGATTGCTAACTTTCTGAGAGAGTTTTCAACACCCTCCTAGCTGACTTAGGAAGACAACTGCACTGAGACAATGGGCAGGTCTGATGTTTGCAACGAGGGCTTTCCACGTTGTGGCTCCAAGAGGGCGACATGGGAAAAATATCAGCAACAAGAAGCTACTAGGGGCTCCTGGCCTTACTAGGAGCAAGGACGCTACATGAAGCTACAAGTAAAAAACAAAAACGACTTGTCAAACATGATGCAAACGAGTTGTCAAATATTTGTACGTGTAACCATTGGTCATCTTGTCTTCACAGGAGGCTCTGTAGAGCGCCAGCAGTTTGCAACAAAACATGCACATCAACGGGCCTTTCGAGTCCTAGCGATGATGCCCTTCGGCATCTGTTCTCCCTGGCTGACTTGCTGATCAGAGTCTGACGCCAACAAAACCAAAGTAGTCCAAAAAGAGAAAGAGAACTTGATGGTTGAGGAGTTTGCAAATAAAATCCAATCCATCGACAGGCCTTGTAGAACTCATGCTTGTCACGGACCTTGATGCAAGCTCTGAACTGATTGATTGCTGATGGTTTGATGATTCTCTCGTGTCGCAATCCCGAATCCTTGACACCTGTTTGCTTCAAATCTGATTTGCAACCCTGAGACTTGAAAGCTCCTAAGATACGATCGCCTGCTTTTTCAGCGTCCGGAAGCCAAGGATGCGGAAGAGCACACATGTTTCAAAACGTGTTTGTCGCGTCTCCATCGTCTTCAGTGCGATCGCTTCAACCTCGCTCTGGGAACTCAAGCACTCACTCGGATGCGGTCTCCGATCTTTCCAGTGCCCCACTTGTTCTGGCCTAGGAGCGACGCTACTAGGGGCTCCTGGCATCGCTACTAGGAACAAGAAGCTACTAGGGGCTCCTGGCCTTACTAGGAGCAAGGACGCTACTAGTGGGTAAACGGCACAAGGCTGCCCACGCTCCACTATTACAGGGTGGAAAGGTTGGATCCGGTGCTTCTTCAGGTGTCAAAACTTGCATGCATGTTCACTGTTTTGGGGAACAGCACAACACCACTGCAGCTTTAAAAGCAGTGCAGTAGGTAGTCACCGTGGACTATATAACTACTGTATATTTGGTCATCCTGGAAGCAAGTGAAATTGAGGTCTTCCACTCTGCTGAAACCACTTGTCTGCTGACGGAGAGTCCAGTGACTAGCCATCAACTTCTAGGCTGAAAAATCCTGAACATACCAGCAGTAAGTTCAGTCTCTGTCAGACTTGGGGCACAGGCCCAAGCCGATAATGCAGGCCTTGATAATCCCGGTGTTGTCAGCACAGCGGACCTGAGACTACATTGTTTCTTTGCGAGTGCGAGCTGATCTTTCACACCATCGGCGAAACATGGACTGCACTGAGTTTCCAGCAATGGATTGCTTCCATAGACCAAGTCTCAACGCCGAGTTGAAAAAAGCCATGGCCAAGCGCAAGTCTCATCAATTCTCAAGCCTTGTCAAGCTTGTGGTCTCTTCCTACAGTCTGTCGAAACTATACGTGATATCCTTCATGCCCTGGGGGGAGTTCTCTGCTTCTTTGCCAAGTGTAGGCATGGCTGTATACAGTGTGCCTGTTCCTAGGTCATAGGCTGCCTCTGGAGTTCAGAGTCGCGATAATCCTCGTCCTTAAAACAAGTCTACAAGCATGTTCCACAAATCGGCGCTGGCAAATACAAGATAATACAAGTACAAGTGTCTATTTTAGCTGCCAAGTGCGCTGTTCAGTTTTGCCGGCTCTGCGAATTAGGGCGGCCCAGCTCAACTCGTCCACGCTGCCAGCCCCTCCAGGACGGGCTTTATGGGCAGGCAGCGTGTTGCATATTCATGGAGTCCATGGAGTGCGTTCAACTGTACTGAAGCCTGAAGAATTGCACACTGTGCAGCTGGACTGAGCACGTTTGCCCAACACTATACACCCCCACACTTAGAGAGCAGTGGCGAGGAACCGCTTAAACTCCATCAGTCGTTCTTGCAGTTTGCACTCTGGGAAACAAAGGACGGTTATGAACCCATTGACATTCCCATGTACCAGATGCTCTTTCCTTGCCCACTCCAAGTGGAAGTCGAAATCGATCATGTAATCCATGGAGCGGTCTCCCAAAAAGAGATTTCATGATTTCATTTTTGTTGTTTTCTTGAGATTTCATTCACGGAGATCTGCTCAGCATCGGCCCGCCACGAAACGGACAGCCAGCAAGCAGGGCCAATGCAACTAGAGGAGAACTTCGCCTCGCATTGTAGAGGGCGAGTTACCAGCGTGTTTGTCGTTGTCACATGTTGTCACATTGTTGTATGTTCAGCATCCAGCAAATCTGGTAGTTTTGAACCACATAAAATATTCAACAACAAAGCAACAAAAAAACATACGGAAAACAAAGGAAAACAGGACCCATGACTTGGACCTCAGAAGCATAATGGGCTCTTGAGGCCACAGATCACAGTCTGTAGGACTGCGGGGCTTCATGAGCAAAAGGACCTCAAATAACCAGCACACATGAGGCAAGGAAGGTTGAGATAACATTATGTCATTATGTAGTTGCATAAATAGAGTGAAATAGAGTGAGTGTGTATATATATATATACAGTACATTATATATCATTATGTAGTTGCATAAATAGAGTGAAATAGAGTGAGTGTGTGTATATATATATATACGTTATTGTGTATATACTCGCAACCACTACTGCTAGACGCAAACACCATTAAACACCAAACAACCACCCGAGGCCAGGGCCACGTCCCCAGAGCTAGGCAAAATGCTCCGCGGCTTTACATGGTCTTCTCCTGCCAGCGCTCAAGGAGAGTTGGTTGTGAGATGGTTGGTTAGTCTTATTTCACCAGGGAATCTGGAGCCATTCTGCAGATGCTTCGACTCAAGAAGAATGGTCACACAGCGACTTTAAGGGCAACAACCCAGGAACCCCAAGTCCCGCGGCAAGTTCACATCAAGAACTCAAAAGCTGAAGAACTAGGAAGCAAAAACTTCCGAAAGCGGGTCGTGCGACGTGCAAAGGCGATTGGGATTGCTCTCTTACTCTGAAAGGAGCCACATAACATCCACATACACAGGAAAACTGACTTGCCTGCCAGCCCTAGGCCACCCCTACCCTGACATTGCACTCTGAGCTCTTCAAGGGGCGACAGCCCGACCCCTCCTCCCAATACTCCTATTCATTTACTGTACATGTGTCATTGATAATTTAAAAATATATATATATAGTGATTCGTAACCTTGCAAGTAATTTCGACTCCTTGCTTTTCTTTTCCCGATTCGCTTTGCAGCCCAAACAGCTCCTTTGGCACTTTCTCGCCACGCCGCCGTTTGGAGAACTGTGCGCGGCAGCAAGGACCAACCAATCCAACACCACAGTCGTTCTTGGTGAAGAATCAGTCGTTCTTGGTTGGATGATATCCCAATCATACTCGTGGCTGGCACATGAGCAACTGAGAATTCAATCTGTTTGGGGTCCAGACCAGGAAAGTTTCCCTTTACATCCCTTTACCCAATTCATCTGAAGAATGAAGCCTCCCCGCCTGCACAGCAATGGGCCCAAAAACTAGCACAGCTAGGACCTGGACGTGCGGAGATGGTCGCCCATTGTTTGTTGTGAGATGTTCGGAAGGTTCGGTTCGATCCGCATGGCACTCGATGGCAATCCAAGTTAAGGCTGCTGCGACACCGATGGCAATCCCTTCAGGCGTAAATTGCTGCTTGTCCTGGCCCAACAAGCTGAATGGCACTGTTGGCGGCAAATGTCTGACACATTTTCTCGCAAGGCCTGAGACATGTCAGACATCTTCCGAGTAATACAATGTACTCAAGTAACAATGCATAACATGCACAAAGCCATCCAAGCGAGCCGACTTGCTTCAAATTACTGGTCCGGACATCTATGTCAAAATATAATATAAGACCAATTCAGAAGCTCCGCTCATAATTGATGTCACAAACCTTTCCAATCTCAGTGCTCTTGCAAAGGACACTGACAACGATTTGGATCAAGCCAGCAGCACCCATTCGCCGAACCAGGACCACTGGAGAACCTGCACCAATGCAAAACAATGCAGCGTTGAGGTCATTGAGAAGCCAAATAAAACAGGAAAATCACAGGCATGTGTATGCATGTGTTGTGAGCGAAAGACGCGAATGAATCTCATGAAACTGCCAAACTGCCTTCGCATTCTCCGAGAATGCCACCTCGAACTTGCAGTCCTGCCAAGGGCCAATTAGAGTTGCTGTTGCCACTCTGAGTTAACTTCAAGCTTCAATGTCCTCCTGTTCAGCATCACAGTAGAAAAAATCGTTCTGCAACATGTTCTTGTCGATGGGAACCGACCAATATTTCCTGAATCCATAACTTGAGCCACAAGACACCTACTCGAGCTCTGAAGCCGCGCTTTGCGGGTCTCTGCCAAGGGGCATCTGGGCATACATGAAGGCACGTGCCTTGGAAGGTTCGCTGATTTTCCCAAGAAAAACCAAGCAAAAAATAATGTGTTGCTAAACTCGAATACATTATCTATTATGTGGGGGCACTATTAGTTTAGACTACTTTAGTAGGAGGTCGTGTCACAGTATCTCGTTCAGACTACTTTAGTGTCATCAAACAAAAGTGTCTCATTTACGTGGGGGCGCTATCTCGTTCACCAGCGAATACTGATGTTGGACAAACAAATTAGAGCATGCCGTAGACTATATACTTTAGTCAAGCCCAAATAAAAGTGGTTGCGCATTTCTGTCTGTAAATTTAAAATAGAAAACGTGTAGCCACTGCAGCATCTATCTACACAATGAGCCCCACTGTGACACCCTTTGCATTTCCTAGGGCCCAATCAGGCAGCTTCATCCAGGCCATCAGCTTATCCTGACAAAGACAAGGATCAAGGCTTTCATTTGGGCTGCATGGCCTGGTATACATGCCATTTTTGAATCTTCCCGTTGCAGTTCTGGAGTCTTTTCAAGCATGTCCAAAAATAAACATGTCGCATCTGCATCTGTCTTCCCTGTGGCATCCCCACCAAGTACAGTGTCGTCTTCAGGTTGAATGGGACCACGTAGGTGAAACCTCATGACCAATGCCCAGCGATTCCATTTGCAATCCGAGACAAGTTGCTTCTCTTAACAAGTCCAAAAGCTCGAAACATCTCTTTGGAGATTCTCGTGTGAGGACGGCACAAGTGCACACGCCAGCATCCTGCTCAGCAAAAACACCAACGACCAATGTCCTGTTGGGACATGCCTTTGTGCTGGATCTCGGACTTTCCGTAGCGCCGTAAAGTATGTTTGGATATCACTCTGTTCAGTGCTGAGGAGCATGGGTACAAGCAAAAGCGAAAGAAACACGTCTTGGTGAAATAAGTTGAAAACCGGAAAAGGCAACGAAACAATCTGTTTTGAAGCGTCTTATCTGACACCTCCACGGCCATGCCACACTGACGATAGCTGGACGGCTGTGAGGCGTCGCAGCGGGACTTTCGCACCTCAACAGAAAGGAGAACCTAGAAGGAATGGCCTCCAACCCCAACCTAAGAGCGATGGCCTCCAACCTAGAAGCAATATGGCCTCCGACATACGCTAAGCTGTCTAGCCGCGAGCCGTGAGCTTAAGGAGCCCCCCGCGTCCGGACACAGGGTAAAACGGTAAAATGGTAAAACGGTAAAAGGGTAAGAGTTAGTTTCTTTTTAAATTAACCTCTACTCGGTCAATATCAGTAAAACGGTAAAACGGTAAAATAGTAAATTCTTTTACCGTTTTATGGTTTTACCGTTTTACCGCTTGCTGTACTACCACCACCACCACCACGACTACTACTACTACTAC